AGTGGCTGCTTCTTCGTTTTCTAAGGTCTCACCGACTCACCCTCTACCGCAGGGGTGGCCAAGCTGCGTCTCCCGAACCGCATGCGGTTCTTCACGTGTTAAAGTGCGGCTTGCGGCGGCCTCCCCTGACCCCCCCAGCCCCCCAATAAAAGAAAAGAAGAAAAAAAAAAAAGGAAAGAGAAATGGAACGCGGTTTAAATCGAAAGAATTGCGGTTTGGTAGCCTTGTGCTACTGGTTTACTGGTTCCTTACGTACAGTTGGACTGCTTTTGACTCAGATAGATTGAAAGTAGTTCAAGTTTCGTTTATTGCTCAAAACAAAAGTTTGTCCGCCCCCCCCACCTACCCCCCTTCCCGCGGCTCTTGGAAGTTTCGTGGTTTTATTTGCGGCTCTTAGGCCGGGTCAGCTCGGCCACCCCTGCTCTACCCACTCCCTCCGCAAAAAAAAATTTTTTTTTTCGTCCGAGCGGTTGGCGCAGCCACAAAGAAAAAAAGAAGCCAGCTTGACCTGCAAGCTGGCTTTCCCCCAATATGGCCACCGCGTTAGGGGAAAGCCAGCTGGAAGAGAAAAACGAAGCTCTTGGCAGTTCGATCTATCGAGACACTCTGCAATTTTCATCCAATGTAACCGAATTCTTGGCTACGCATTTTCATTGCAGCTACTAGTCTGTTCAAAAATAGTTCAATACAAGGGATAGTTCGAATTAACCGGGTTCGATATAATCGGGTTTGACTGTACTCTGCTTTGTAATTATCTTGCCTTCCTTATGCTCTCAAATCACAAAATGATAAACCAAAACAAACCACTTCTATTGATAGATACTCTTTCGCATGATATACATCAGATTGCTATAGTAATGCATCAAGAGGACAGCGGGGGTGCCACATAGTATTTCTGCAATGGTCTATTGATCCCTGATTGCCATCAGAGTGAATCTTCTGCTGGCACCGTTAGCAGGTGACCAACCACACACCTTGATGGCCGTCTGAAAAGAGTACCGTAAAATCCTGAGAGATAGCCCACCTAATAGGGTTGTGCGAATATTCGGAATTTCGAATAGTAGTTCCGAATAATACACTATTCGATATTCGCTTCGAACAGAACGGCACTAGTCGCGTTTTTCGAAGTGTTGATTGCGGCGGGATAGCCCCGTTGAGTGCGCTTCTTACCAAGCACCGGTGCGCTGCGGAGAAGCCAAAGCCATGAAAGTGAGCTTTCCGGGTGTTGCTTCTCTGCATTACATCGGTGCTCGGTAAGAAGCGCACTTAACGGGGTAACCCGCCGCGATGAACAATATCGTAATTGCGTGCTTGGAAGAAAAACATACATTCAAAGCGGGATAGTGCACCCGTGCCGACTGCATTTGAAAATAAATGGAAACTTTGTGAATGTGTATATCTACATTGTAGTAGAAGTTTCAAAATATAACTTTTATGCAATAGTATACTATGTTAGGCAGAGATGCTTTCACAACCTGTGTTCATCATGCGCGATTCATTCTTTTTTAACTCTAGATTAAAGAAAGAATATTTTATATAGCAAGATTTGTAAATTCACTCAATTGGTATAGTTGGCCGTCCCTATAGGATTCATTTTATGTCAAATCCGTCATTTACTTGTCTTCCCAAGACATCAGACCTTCTGAGGTCACAGTTCATAAATATAGATTAAACTTAGCTTTTAAATGAACAAGTGGAATAACCTTCACAGGTTTAGCTGGGTTTTCGTCTAAGTATTATGCAATAGTAGTGAATGGCATGGAAAAACTATTCAATATTCGAATCGAAAATATTCTGCCAAAACCACTATTCGCTTCGAATTCGCTTCGAACTCAAAATCCACTATTCGCACAAGACTACCACCTAATATTAAGAGCAAATCGGCTGAAACTACAGAGTGGGCCAACTTTCGGCGTACAATCAAGAAAATTTCTAAAAAATTGCTATTTTTAGGCTGTGTCCCTTCCAAGCTTGTTATGGTGGTCAGGGGAAACAAAGCAAAGGTGACTCTACTTCCCAGTCAGCAGCGTTCGCTTATATCCCACCATGGCGAACTAGACGCATTTACGCCAAGGCCATCATTGATCCCAACACTACCATTACTAAGAGTGGGCTATCTCTTTGTGTTTAAAAAAATATAGCAAATCAAGCCAAAAGAAGGGGTGGGCTATCTTTCGGGGGTGGGGCATCTCTCGAGATCTTACGGTACCTTTTTTGTTTAAAGTCACCATAGTTTGATTTACATACCAGAAAGTAAATTTATTAAAATAAATTTCAGTAGCTCATTTCAGGTAATGAAGTGCACTTATAGACTACTACTAGTTTGAATAGTAACCATATAGGAGAGTGGAGAGGCTGGAACGATTTCTGTATTCCTTTGTTAGTCCACTCATTTACCTTTTTGTTCTTGCAATATCGAGTAAGCACGTAATAAGTGATTGATCCACACATTGCACAAGCCTCCCATCGATTTGGTGCATAACAAGTGCCCTCTACTTGTAAACTTGTGCCCACTCTGTTGAGTATATGCAAAAAAGTGTTTTGATAAAACAAACTTGAGCCCGCTCACATCTGTCCTCTTTGGCTCTGTAGGATAATTCGAAATAAATAAAGTACACATCAACTTGACTTGAACAACCACCTACTTCCAAAGTTTTGCACAAAATAAACTCTTTACAAAAGTGTGTCATCTGGTAGTAGCCGCTGCACCAACTCTCTGAAGCTGAACAAAAAGTGTGCAATGAGCCGGTGTTATTTGAACATAATTACGGAAAGCTATGAGACTAGGGTAAAAAAAAAATTGTTCAGCCTTTCCACTCTCGTGAAGAAGGAAGACCAGCGGAGCTGCACTCGATACACTGTGTGCTTCTTCTACGTCGTCGTCTGTTTTTCACGCTGTTTCCTACATTGAATTCCCACCAACGCTTCCAACTATCAATTCTTTTATTATAGCTGGAAAGGTTGCCACCATCTACGAGCGACAGCAGAAACCATACTGGTTGTGTGCTTGCCGCCGTCACTTGTAGATGAAGGTAGCTGTCCAGGCAGGTTTGCGTCGACATACCGGACACGATCCTGGGGAACCTAGCCCTTAACAGCTCCGCTGTAAAAGTGATGGGACAAACACGAAATCTTTGTGCTTGTCCCGTCACTTTTTTTTACCCCAGTCTAGATTTTTTGTAATTATATCTGAGGCTGCCCTAGTTTGGGCATGCACTTTGGGATCACACTGGACACGAGCACTGCATCACTGCCAGATCTTCAGCTTTGTGCTCCGGTCAACTTCGACCTGAACTCGGCAGCTGCTAATATTGCTGGATGGGACTAAAAAGGTGTGAACAGACCTTCAGTGTGTTACAGCGACAAAACGTTGCCTCTTAAAACAATGCTTGTACTTATAAATGGCCTCCTTATGAGTGGGGTTCCGTGTCCCCAGAGTCGATTTGTGTTTGAAATCAGGGGGCATGTTTTGGGGGTTTATGTTTTCCCACAGGTCTGGGGTTTTTGGGTGCATGCTTTTCGTGTCAGACAAAATACTGGTGTTTATCAAGTGAAAATAGGTATGGGACTCTCCAACCTCCAGGCAACTGCATGACCTGATAGCTCGAAAAACGTCCCGGTACTGACAAGAAAACGAAACAAGAAGTATGATTCCCCCCCCCAAAAAAAAAGGAACCTCACGAACGGCATGGTGCAGGCTATGTTCCGGACTAACACGACATAAAGATGCAGATAAAGATTTCTTTCCGTGAAGCTTGGATTCTTTTTTTTCATTCAGGGTTTTTCATTTCAAGGTTTTTCGTTTAGGGTTTTTCATTCATATTTTTTTCAATTTTCCCCAATTTGATAATACCATCTCGGGGGAGTGCTTTTCAGGGTTTATTGGTATATACAAAAAATATTATAGGTTTCCTTTTTTTTTTTCTATTTTCGAAGTGTTTTTTGGCAGTCATCGGGAATATGTGGTGTTTTTCATTGGCAATTTTCGGTGTTGAACAGGAAATCGGCATTTATCAGGCCGTACGTTGGAGAAAATAGGACATGGCCGTAGGACTTCCCAATCGCCGGAAAATGTGCATGTGATTCAAATGCTTACAAGACGTCTCAGTATCAAAAGAAAGGAAGACGAGTCAAGGGGTGTGGTCCCCGGAGAAAGAAGCGACCTCACAAACAGTTTGGTGCAAGTCCAGTTCCGCGTCGACGCAAAATAAGGCTGCGATTGAAGATCTCTTTCCCCGAAATGTGGGTTTTTCTCATTCGAGGACAGCAGAAAATTAAAAACCTTAGGTGTTTTTATTTTTTCCTTATTTGGATAAAACCGAATATAATCACTGACAGAGGGAGCATGGCAGGGTGTGTCTTTGAAACGCCCGGCTTCTGGAACATGCTTTGTGCCATCTGTTGAGCTCCAACTGCGCACGAATGCTCGAGGCTCAAGATATGCCAGCGCTTCGTCAAAGGTAGAATGATCACGCTGGAGGCGGGGCAACTGACGCTTTCTCCTGCCATTCTCACTTTGCCAATGACTATGGAGGGTTGCTTTTCATTGTATGCAAAAAGTATGGGACCCTACTTATACAAGAATTGCCGTAAGCACCGGCACACCAGGCATGCCTTGCAAAACGTGAATTCCAAACGTACATGCCTAAAACTGGGCAAACAAACATTGTTTCTCGAATATTTTATTTCTATTTTGTTTTATAGCTCAATTCACAGGTGGTAAAAGATTGAAAATAAAACGAAAGAAGCCGCCATATTTTACGTGTCCTATACCAGCCTGTTTGTCGTCTGTGCACTGGTTTGCAAACTCGCTCTTGGGTGGCTTGTCGATTTTACAACCCCAGAATTAAAGAAATAGACAAAACTCTTAGTGAAATGACAATTGCTTGCCCCATTTAAGATATGTGCATTTAAAATTCGAGCTTTGCAAGGTGTGCCAAATGTGCCGGTCCTTACGGCTGCTCCCCGTGCAAAGTTGCTGACACTGGAGGGCACCTCACCACCCAAGGCTTGTCCTGGAAGTTGTAAAGGCTGTGCAGAGAGTTGACGGTGGGCACCCCGCCGAAGTGCAAGCCGAGCAAGAGGGGCCGGTAGTCGCGGCCGGCGTCCCGCACGTGTTGGCGCACCAGCACAAAGTCCGGCCGGAAAGAGCGCACCACCTTGGTGCCCTGGCGCACGGCCCCCATGCTCACGGTGGTGCCGGACTCGGTGCTCGCCCACAGGGTGAGGTCCCCGAATTCCGCCTGCTCCACCCGCACGTCCCAGTTGCCGTGCAGCTTGCGGCCCTGGAAGTACTTGGCCCTGGGGAGAAGAGGAGGGGATTACCGCCGAATGCTAGTTCTGAGAGGCAGCTGAAGACACTTCAAACTTTGGCTCGTCAATGTCATACGTCGGCACCCAACCGTCATATTGATTTCTATTGCGTTTTATGTCCCATGATACTAAAAAAAGGGTCGTCAAAAAAGGAAAAATATGCGCAAAGATAGGGGCTGACACCGTTGGTAGTGCGGGACGGTGCCCTCTCAAAATGGCAACAGTGGAGAGCTAGAGCAGGGGAGAGAGCATACGCGCTCGCAGAAGCTAAAGGGAAAGAGGTTATTTGAAACAACTGTTGGGGACGGCAAATGACCCTCAAAAAAGTTTATATTCCTCTGCCATCCGATCGTTACCGCTTGTTTCTTGATGTCACTGACGTCGCGGCTTAATGAACTAACTTTCTCAACGTGACGTGGGTTGTCTTTGACGTGGGCTTCGCCGAGAAACGCCACCTACTTTAAGCGATTTTTTTGCTCTTCACCTCCACAGGTTCATGACGCAGAGTTGTGCCGGCATCCACTTTTACGCGCTATAATTTCTGCGTGGCAATATGAGAATCCAGCAGCCATATTGCCGTCCAACGTTGTCACCGTAAAAAATGTTTGGTGCCTTCGCTTGGACAACTGCATTGGCCTAACATCCGCCGAGACTGGGGTAAGCATCGTCGGCGCCAGTGACTTCTCATCGTTCATTTAGTGCTCACCCCTGAAACGAGCTAAGTCGCAAAATTGTGGCTATCTGAGCATTTCTTCACGGCAATTTATGTAGGCCAGAGTAAAAACGCTGAGGTCATCACTATCGATGCAATATGCTGTGTGAGATGCTTCAGTCACGCCACCACCATGCTGCCTCGCCTGGTTCCATCTGCTTTTCTGCCCATTTTAGAAATGAAGGGTGAATACTGAAATGACACCTAAAAAGCAGTGGTCATTTATCTGTGAAAGTGGCACCCTTGTCGAGTCTCAGTGTAGTGATCAGTCGGATGGCAAATCAGTTAAACAGCACTTGCCTCATCCTACCATCCACAAAAAGGAATAGAGGGACGAGAGAGAGAGAGAGGGGGTCGGCAAAAGAAGAACAGAGAGGGTAACATAGGTTACAGTCCTGGTTGGCTACTCTGTTTTAGGGAGGGGGCAGTGGGGAGTTAAAAGAGGAAGGAAAGGATAGGAGGATAAAACAATAAACACAAAAAAAAGAAAAAAAAAAGAAGGAAATAGTGACATGAGAGCAGAAACTATAAATCACATTACAAATAAAGTATGTGTGTCCTTTAGAGGCAGAAGTTCAGCCGCGTTTCCTTTAGGAAACACAGAAAAGCTTTTTTGGCCCTTGCTGCATTCTGAGGGCTGTCCCAGGTGCCGAGCACTTTCATGACAGAAAACGGTCGGCTGTCTAGTTGCAACAACGTACTCTTGAGGTCTTCTCTTTCCGCGTCATAGATTTGGCAGTCGCACAAGTGAGCAATTGTTTCATTACATTCACACGTTGGACACTCCAATGTTCTGGCTTGCCCGATGCGGTGAAGGAAGGACTGTGTATAAGCGACACCGAGCCGGAGGCGGTGTATGGCTGCCTCTGTCCTCCGGGGAAGATGTGCACGTGGAAGTTGAAAGGTAAGATTTGGGTCCAATGAATAGAAAAGAGCCTAATGGTAGGAGACATTGTGCCATAGCTTTCTCCTTGCGCTGGTAGCGTGACGATTGATAAGGCGTCTAATGTCATTCCGACAATACGGGACTGTTATAGTTGCATCTAGAGAATGCGCTGACTTTGCGCCTGCGTCTGCAGCCTCGTTTCCAGGTAAACGACAGTGACTTGGTAAGGATAGTGTGTCCTCGATCCAAACACTGCGTAAGAAGGGTCATTATTTCGAAAACCACTTGGTCATTTTGGCCGCATCGCAAAAATGCTGATATTGCTTGGAGGGCCAGCTTGGAATCAGAAAATATTGTCCAGGAGTGGGACGATTTTGCGAAGATTATTTGAAGTGCTTGATGAATTGCTTCGGAATCTGGCGTAGGCACAGATTCTGAAGAAGTCGATGGACGATGGTTCGCTGAGGATTGAACGTTCGGTATTGCACGCAACACATCAGTCTATGTTTCGGCGACAGTCTTCTTTTGCTGTGCGACACTGTTGCTATGTTTCTCTGTAGTCATATGTGCCACACGTGCTTTGGGAAAACAATTTACTGCACCGGCGTATGTATGTTTCTCTCGTTTTTCTTGTTGAGTCGGAGACAATGTCGGGAGCCGGACGACCTCAGGGTTAGGTGAAGGCGCACGGCGCTTAAGAGCTCGGCCGTTCATTATGCTTGTGCGAGCTCGTGCAGTTGCTGCATGCTTCCGTGGGCAGCCAGAGAAGGATGCCGAGTGCTTGCCATCACAATTGGCACACTTTGGTTCTTGTTTAGGGTTGCAGTTCTTGTAGTGATGTGGTCAAGCGCAGATTTTGCATTGTTGTGGGCCTCGGCAATATTTGGCAACATGGCCATATCTTTGGCATTTGAAGCACTGAACCGGTGGTCCAAAGTACTGTTCGACGGGGTGACCAGTGAAGCCAAGGAAGATGCGCTGGGGCATCGGGCGGTCCGGAAGAAACACAAGGACAACGCTTCCAGAGGAACCGAGGGTCGTGGTTCGACAGTCCCATCCTTCTTGCGAAGGTATGCAACTTGTCGTTGTACAAACGTTACTCCGGCATCAAGAAAGTACTCGAGGAGTGCAATGTTGGGATACTCAAGAGGCACATTCTTAATTTTTCCTAAATTTCTTGAGTAAGTCTGTGGCACGGATGCAAAGACCTTGATGTTTCCTAGGAATTACAGCGTCAGTAGTTTGTTTGCGGATCCAAGTGATGCCACGTTCACAGAGAGGCTTCCACCCTAGTTGATCTTGTGTGACAATACCTCTTCTTGCGTGACCGCAACAATGTCTTGTGCAATTGAATTTGGGTTCACCTTCCAAAATGACGATTCAGATGATGTCGGCTTGAAGAAGACCGGAATTCCAGAAGGTCTGTTCTTATGATACGACACTTTGATGAATGGTGTAGAGTCGTCTTTGTCGTCCATGTAGTTAACAGATGATTTGTCCTTTCTTCTGTACGCACTCTCTTGGGTGGTGGAATCTGAGAGGCCATCTCACTGGTTGGGGTCTTTTGATTCGAAGGATTCATTTGATCGCAGGGTCCTGATGGCTGCGAGGGTGGTGATCAGGACCATGTGGTTGGTGGCCGTTGTTTGTGGGTCACAGCTTGGTGTGGTGCCACATTCTCGGCCAGGGAGACGTTGTAATATAAAATTGCAAGTGTCACAGAACGAAGGAATGGCAGGAAAAGCAGGAAAAGGGTTTGCTTATGCGGAGCGAGAGAAGGACGAAGCTATAATTGCGTCCTGTTGTCGCCCTTGACAACACAGGGTAGAAAATAATCCGGCATGTGAATACCTTTCCACCTCGCAACCATGTTATCCCGCTTGATCACCAGTGAGCTTTGCTCCCTGCTGATGTTACCAGTCTGCTTTGCAACATGGCAACGTCAGGACATCAAAGATGTCGGTCTCAGGCGCGACCGGCCACCCGACCGGTCGCACCTGAAATCAATCGTGGTTTTCGATGTTGTGATGCTGCCATGTCGCAAAGCGAACAACGCACTACTTTTTGACAGTGGAGGCACTTGCAGCAGGTTCATTAAGCTTGTAGGGTGGCACATCTTCCGAGTACTTAACTTGTTACCGACAATAAGCGCAAATATCGCGTCCTCACTAAATGTGCGGTGCAGTGTATGCAATCTCCGAGGCAAGACAGACCAATTGAAAGTGCCAACATCATGTTCGCGTTAACTGTGCAGTGCAGTGCAGACAACCTCCGAAACTTAAGGCAATAAAATCGAAACTACCGTAAAATCCCGAACGAATGCTCGCTTACTCATTTTGAAGAGATAAATGGTGAAAGAGTATCCAGTGGGCGATCCTTGGGAGTCAGAGTGCAAGATTCTATCACTTACAGGCACCATGGCACCGCTATCAACCACATAACGTGGGGACTGATAGTGCACATTGCAGACATTCATGTTTGATGGTGCGATAAATACGCAAAACATCTGGTACAAACTCTTGTGTCACAGGAACCGATATCACACACGCAGATTGCAGACGCGGCAAACTCTGATTTCGTTGTGCGATAAACATTCAGGATGGGCGATCGATCGATTAAGCTTCCGACTAATCAAACAATGCTTTAATCAAAAATAATATTTTGAACTGGTTCGCCAGTTCAATTAGAAACCGGGTAAACCAAGACATTATTTTTGCATTTTGCTTACTGACGTTACCTCCATCTCAAAAACACACACTATATATCCTGTTCGTAGCCAAGAAACTCGCAAATGACAACGTCATTAATTAATCATGGTTTAGCCAGGGCTGGTACCAACTCGAAGGCCGTGTCTAATTTACGAAAAGTCCATCTGGCTTTTCTTGGCTATAGCACAGCAAGCCGATGGCGTCCACGACCTGTCTACGATATGCGGGAGCGCAGCATCCGGTGCAGAGAAGACGCTCCCCGAGGACAGCAGGTTCCCTGCACACGGAAGTTCCCCAAGAGGGACAAAAGGCTCTACTCTTGCAGCTTCCCTTTCACTAATAGCACACCCAGTCAGATCTCAAGGTACACCTGTTGGAATTTAGGGCTTCTTCCCTCGCTCCTTGAGCGTCGATGGCCGCCAACAGATTTTTCATAATTTCTCGTTGGGGTCCTGATGAACCTAGTAAAGCACTTGGTAATACTACCGACGTTGTCGATCCTCTCAAAGCAGCTGACTTTTGCGACTCCAGCTGCTCAATGGCAATAGGTGCGTTCAGTAGCGGCCCCGGAGTCAAGGAGTCACTGACTCCTTCCACTGGACGGCCAAAAGTCACTTCCGGTGCACGTAAATCCGGGGCTTCGGAGTCAAGCTCCGAAGCACCGAGTCCGGAGACGGGGCAC